AACATCACACTATACCTGAGAGTATTGGATAACTTTGCTTCTGGTGTTAGCAGATAAGGAAGGTGCTTTTATGGCGTCCCTCTCGATAAGGATTCCATCTGTTCCCCTTATCACTACTGCAACTTGCACGTTGGTTTTTGATGGCCTGCTTGGGTTGCGTGAGTCCCCCCGGGGGGGGGGGGGGGGGGGGGGGGGGGTCTCTCTCTTTCTCTTTCTGCCTTTGAGACAATATTCATGACATCTCGACATCTAGAGCACGGACGTCATCCTATCATTTATTTCCGCATCTATAAAATATCCAAAACCCTCTGCGTGAAATCCTCGATTTTATCCGTCGTTAAAGGAAGAAAATTGACCAGTTTGAGACTATCTGGGTACTAGTGGGGGTAGGATAAAGTAGGATCACGAATCGATGAGTGAAAGTGGTCGACATGCATTCGTGAAATCACGTCTGCATGGAAACAAAAACGATTTTCCTAAGCTGTCATAAAGTAACTAAATTCCTTCAGCAAAGCCTTATGACTCAGACTTCTACTTTTTTCATACGGGAATTACATGACTAACCACCGTGGAATTTTGGAGAACACATCCGTGACTTTTTAAGGCTTCATCCATTTACAGCGCTGTTCTGGTTTCATGGCTTAATATATTCAGGAAGCTCACGTCAGGAAGGTCAAAGGCTCTTCCACTGGTCAGAGGCTCACAGTCCCTATAGGATAAATGCCAAAGCTGACCTCAGTAAGAACAGGTCCAAGTTAAAAGATCCGGAATCTACGATTTGAAGCCTTGTAATAGTTACATATATTCCAGAATAAACCCATGGTTGAATGGGGATTCGCTTCTCCCACGGAGAATCTGTCGTCTTAAAATCTGCTCTCGTTACGGGACATTCATCAGATTAATTCTTCACTCACAAGAGGGATTTTGAATTCACATTTCTTTCGTCCTAGATCAAATCCAGTTCATAAAATATTATGCTTCATTTTGCACAATTAACCAAGTACCTAATCATTCTTCAGACTGATTAGGTTGTAAATAGTGCCTAATGGTAAATAGTGGTTGTAAATAGAACCTAATCAGTCTGAGGAATGATTGGGTTTCAAGAGACTCAACGAATTTCCAAACAATTTGCCCCATTAGAGTCCAGATGTACCTTTGTCACAACCGCCTTCCCTGTCAGGCAGAGTTAAGTACCATAAGACCTGAAATATGAAGAGCCTTAACCTCCTTTTATCAGCACGCTGACCGAACGGACAAAGGGAAGAGGGCTCTCAATTTGATGGCCCCCTCCCCCATACCTCCTTGAAAAAAAAAGGGAAAAGGAGGTAGCTGCCTTGAAGTGCACGATGGATAATTGTGTTAGACAACGGTCAGAATTAGGATGAAGCTCTTACTCTCACGAGACCTCACTGAATATTCAAAGAGTAAAGTTCTTAGAATTTCTCAAATCTCTTCTTATGTGAAATGATAAATATTCCATGGCATCGCACTTGAATCGAATCGAGTTCTCGCTGTTGTGAGAGGGAACACTCAAGGTTAGGGAACATAACACACGCCTTTGCTTTTGATGTCCCCGTTCATGTTTCCTTTGTCCTTGAGAAGGCGGACTGGAATTACCCTGTCCCTAGAGACAAACGTAGAGCGCGGCTAGGGAGTCCTTTATGCACGTGAGCTTTGAAGTCAGGGTAATTGCTGAGTCCAAGGTTTCTGGTGTTCCTTTGTTTCCATTCCCTTCGGTACGACATCAGATAACCTTGAAAATCCGGAAGAAGCAGGTGCATGATAGGGCGGGCCTCAGACGCACGATGGAATTGACCGCTCTGAGCATGGATGCCTTCAGCTTCTGCGCTGCCCGGGTTTAAGTACGACGCATTTACTTGCTAATATTTTTGACAAATGGCTGGTCACTGACAGCCATTTTCGCTCAAAAATCAGAGGGAACTCTGAAGAATAAAGTTTCAGTCACACTGTTCTGACTGCGAGAGTCAGACGAGAGTAGATACTGTTTCCAAATAAGGAGAACGTAGCACAACATCCCACATAAGATACGGTGTTTACAGTTTTGGCTGTTTTTATGTGAGAAAAGTTTGTAACTGTGACCGTGCCTTTTTGAAGCATGGTGATTCTAAGATACCGCGCTCGTGAGGGTCTGAAGGTAAGATTAGTCTGTCAATTCAACTAGATGAAGCGATGGATTAATTGATTAAAGTTTCATTTGCGAATGCGAATAAAAAATTAGTGATTTTTAGTGGAATATAAGTAGGCACCAAAATCTATCCTCTGATGGATCCTACTTAGTAGAATCCACGCGTCCATATTGGGGAATGCACTTTTCATTCTTTGTTGGACCCCATCTGGAGGTGCCAAGAAATAAAATATGTTTGTTCAGTTTCTGTTGTTTGCTATTACAGGGTAGGATCGGGTAGGATCGGGTAGGATCAGAGGATATGGCGACATCTACAACGTTCTCAGCATGCTATTCCATTAACCCTTTGTTAACTTTGTTTAAATGATACGATTCTAGCATTACCATATGGCGGATAACTGTATCAGGTGACGTTTACTTCGCCTCTTTAGAATTTTGCACTTCCATCGGCAGATTCAGGGAGAGGATTAATGGTCAGTTAGAATTCAATAAATCTTTAAAACAGCCTAAGAGTATATTATTTACATGTTCGATCGATTAGTAGCTCTACTATATTTACTCAAGTTGGTACCTTTTCGGTAACTGCTGCTGTACCGATAGACTCGAACTTCAGAACTTTTTTCACTGAATGCTACGGGGTCAAGTTTCCTACTGTTATCCCTCTTACTAACGATGATAGGTGATTGCCATTGACGACGCATTGAGGCTCATCCAATTATTCCTCTCGCATTAAAAATTCGACGATGTTAAACTACCGAAAAAGCACTGCAACTAAAGGAAACATGAGTGTCGAATAGTCTTGAAATGGGCCATTCTGCGCTACGATTTTTGCTATAAGTTGCGACAGTATCTGGTAACGAAATACCCCTAATGCAAAGCACATTGAATTTGAGATGGACCAAGCGAGAGGAAACGAATGAATGGTGCCAGTGATGACGTCCTGATACCAAGGGTGGTAAGTATCCCAAGTAGCACATGAACGTTCTCGAAAACGTTCAACCTGTTTTCGAAGAGGCTTTGGATGTTGAATTTTCACGGTTGGGCAGCTTTTGGTTAAGATGCTGTTTGATCACTGATATCCTATTTTTCATGACGTTTCTGAAGGACATTGGTTGAACGCTAAATGGAACGTTTTCTTTTGCTACGTCTGTACCACTTGGTAGGGGAAAGCTGGGAAGCTATCTGGCGGTAAACAAACGAGGCCCGTCCAACCGAAGCAAGGTGGCGTGCCTAATTCTACAAAAGCAGATAGGTCTGGATGTGATGAAAGTCTCCATCTAAAGCAGGGGTTCTAAACATTTTTGCACCGACGGACATCAAGTATACATCAAGTATTACTCATGGATCCCCACCTCCGGATATCAGAAATGTTGGAACACCTGGATTTGTGATTATGAATGATGCTTTTCGGGAGCTACCTTGAATTATATATTTAATTTTCCATGGACTCTCCACGGAGCCCCTGAACCTACCCCATGGACCCCAGGTTAAGAACCCCTGATCTAAAGGATCTATTCTGACACATGACTCCCGAGAGGGAAAAGTACCATTGAGCTGATCAGGAAAGTTCTGTTCCCGAGAGGGTAATTGTAGTCCCACAAAGAGGCAGGAAGCATGATTGGGAATACTACCTTCCTCCACTAGGAAAGGTTGTACGAGATACTCCAAATCAGACTTAGAGAGATTCGACTGCATGACGGGCACGGGAGCAGGGCAGTATGTGTACGTAGGATAATTTGAATGAAGAGATCGTTTCCAGGATGCTCATTGCGTGTTGGCCGAATCCTAAAAGAGGAAGTTCTTCGAACGTCTTGGTGTTGCATGAGAAAATTCAATTCATGCGCCTGATAAAAGTTCAGGAAACGAATCATTTTAACGTTCTTGGACACTCTAGATTTCGGACATTTGAACAGTTAAATCGTTTTTGAGGACGTTCGTTGTACATTGGCTGTACTTGAAATAGAACTTGCTTTGAACATTGCTTGAAAGTTTCGGTGCTACTTGGGATTCTACGTTGGCATAAAATATTCATTGCACCATTTCTATCAACATTGGTAATCTAATAAGATTAGCAGTGCAAATTTGATCAGAAACTAAGTTCATGTTCGAGGTATGGGCCCAGACATGACTTATGCTGCCAGAGAAAAAGTGAGCCAATCCTGAAAGTGGTATCTCGTGCGTGGTCCTCTTTTACTCCCGTTCGTGATTGGAATACGAAATGAAGAAGAGCAAGAGACTAGACAATAATAGGAATTGTTTCACTTTCGTTTTCAATACGTTATTCGCGGTCAAACCTGATTCTGGGAGGTCTTGCCATGCTTTAGTGTGACGGTGGCTGATTTTTAATTTAATAAAAACGTGAACATTGTGAAATTAATCTACCTCGACACGTGGATTTTCATCACCGTTTCATTTAATATTTTAAAATTATCTGGCCGATGGATTAATTGAATCTCTATGTAGGATAGGTGCAATCCTCGAAAGGAATGAGGAAAATCACAGCACTAAGCACTCGTAGAGGTCTGGAGTCCTTAATGCAAGGAATATTTCGAGGATTATCCTCTCCATCATATTAATTGGCCTTTCCCAAGAGTTGTATTTACATCTCTTCAGTTTCGTCAAACTCAAGTCCATGCACATTATGTGCCACTTCGAATGACTTGAAATCTTTTTTGAGGGTGTAACATCTGCTACGCCAATATCCAAATTTCCTTTCGGGTTTCGGATCCCAAAATTTGCCAGTAGTGCAGTGATTACGTAAAAGATCGCGATGATAAGTGACAGAGTGGTATATTGCCATACTAAGCCAACACTTCGCCCTGTTGGAAGTTGATGACAAAATGTGGAAAATTACCTGCCAGCCTTGCAGCAGAAGACTCCTGTCGACTGTTCGTAGCCACATGATGGCGTCTCCTGGCTGGAAATCTTTGAGCTTCGGGCATCTGCGTCGAAGGAAATGACCCAGACATTTCAGGAGTTCCGAGGTGCTGGCCTGGATCACTGTCTTCCTGGCAGGGCTGATCTTGGTCGGCGGTTCTCGGCCGATTTGATTCGCATTGCTGACGTCGAGGGCATGCCCGTTGACCAGGGTGAAACCTCCTCGATCGCTTGAGTTCTTCAAACTGTAGCAACTCAACGCCTTCTGGATGTTCTTATTGTTGTCCAAGAAAGGCTGGATGTTGTCCAACGGTGTCCTGGCTATCGCAGACACCTTGGACTCGTGCAACTTGTTCTTGCTGGTCAGCCTCTTCCACGACAGACCGTTCAAGAACAGACCTTGCTTCTTATTATTTACGTTCTTGTTTTCGTTTTGGGCCATCCTCGCCTTCTCTCGACACCGAAGGTGATGATCGTAGGAGAATGGATCCGAGCACATGTTCTTCGAGTCTTTCGGACTAAAACTCAATACCGTCCCCATCATACACTCTACTTTTTTTTTCCCTTTTTTTTTTTAAAGAACTATATACACGACACAAAGACAGAATGGAAGTTGGGAAGGACCTAGCTGGGGTGAGGTGGAGTCGAACACTCTCTTTCCCCCTCTGATTCCGGACCCATTCCACCCCTCTCTGGTTGCCATGGGAACGGAGAGTCGATTTCGTGACGTCACCGTGCAAGTCGTTTCCCTCCCCTCCCCTCGCCAGAACCATTGCAGGCATTGATCAGATGCAAGTCTTCTTTCCGATTGTAAGGAAGAAAAAATGGATTCCGACGGGAGGATCCTCTCCTGCTGATGGGCCTGCTGTCTCAAAATTCTCTGGGGAACGCAGACCGCGTTTGAAGCGGAGATTATTGGATTCGTAGTAGGTTGTCTATATGCAACGTGTCACATAATGCAACACGGGAAATAGGATAATCAATCGCTGTCCGCGCAGCTGCCCAGAATCAGCTGGCGTTTGTAGATTTTCTTCCACGCGCCTGTTGACACACTCAGCAGTGGTTAGCGATAGTTGCATTGGTGATACTCCTTTGCAGTGAAGAAGTCGCTGTAATAACTCTCATTTTCGCTCCAATTTTTGATACAGTCATCTCCCAAGGTCTCTAATGGCATCAAATTACATGCATAGATCCTCGTGACATCCAGACACCTTGAAATACTAAATTATGGTTATTTTCCTCTTGTTCTGCTACTTCCGGAGAACATCATACTGAATATTTACTGATATCGACAAAAAGATGGATGGGCTCGCCTTAAATCAAGGGGATGTGCGTGTATATAAGACCCGCTATCCTGAGATAAAAGCAGCAGTATTTAAAATTAGGCCCAGTTTCTATTTCTTTACGACTCAGTGGCATCTGAAAAATATAATTTATCCTTGGGGAAAAAAGTACTTCAAAACTTCAAGATCGAGATAATCGCGCGAGTTTACACCCAAGTGAGAAACTACGAGGGGCAGTCGAATGAAAACGAGACATGGAGTGAATCACACCTTTCCGAAAGCCAAGCTCACATATGATGAAGCGAACCATGATTCATGTTCACTAGGGGAGGGATTTCATCAATGGTGATTCGCCGATTTCTCCGTACAAGGGCTTTCACTTCCTTGATGCTCTCGGGAGTCACCACGCGACGAGTTTTTCCCGGACGCGGGGCATCGGCGACACTTGTTTCCCCGTTTTTTAACTTGTTAACCCACTCCTACACTTTTGACCTCGGATTGCAATTATCGCTGTACGCAGCGTATGCAGCGTACGCAGCGGTGCCAAAATTCACCTGTAAATTTTGGCACCTTCGGCAACCAAAAACCGAATCACTGCACGAAGCTCTTCTTTAGTGCACTTCTTTTTCGCTGGTGCAATTTTTTCCTAATCGCTGTGCAGTGATGCTTTGTAGCAGCAGTCGTGCGAGACCATAGGGCAGAACTGATAAAACGAGGCCCAAACGAACGGATTCGATGTGCGTTAGGAGCAACAACCGAGAATGTCCCGTTTTCATTTGACTGCCCCTCGTACAAAAGGACATAATATTTGCAATTTAGAATAGGTTCACTCAGTGCTGAAATTACTCAGAGATCTTTCAATACTTGGGGATCTAGCAGCCATAATAACATTCTATCAGCGCTACATGAACGTTACTTTTTAACCTTCCCACCATTGGAGTAATGCTACATCTTCACATTGAGCCAACTTTTCGGTTTTGCCTATTGATACGCTCAAGTGAACGTTTTCTCCCAGGCCGGTTGGGAATCTTTCAGCAGGCACCTCTTCTCCAGAGACTTCTGATCCTTCACATGAGAAGGACTATTAATGATTGTTTCCACCACATACTCCGTCCAATGAGACTCACCGGATGACTACTAACATCACTCCGGCTTGCATCTTCACTTCTGGAGAGAAGTTTAAAACAATCTTTGCGGGTAGGTAGAAGGCTCTTAACCATCAAGTGTAATTGGAGCCTGCGTTTCCTATTACCACACGGAGCGAGTTCCCTAGTCGAACTACACCATTTCCGGATTGAATTGGGACCTCCCCGACAAGTGGGAAACGGAGGAAGCACTATTTCCAGATCTGCTTCATGAAGTGATCCACGATACTACCTAACTGGAATATGTCTCTAGATGGACTCGACGGAAGCTCTCCTATGGTGGGGGAGGGGGGGGGGGGGGGGGGGTTTACACCCCCCCCCCCCCCCCCCCCCCCCCCCCCCCCCCACCCCCTTACCGGGCGAAGAGAAGAAGCCCCCCCACCGTTCCACTTAACCTCCCATTGGCGGAACCCTGGCTACGCCACTGCATGTTATGTTGCTTTAAGTGGTTATAAAAGCTGCATTTTGATGCTATGTAAGCATTCACTTTATGTTGCGACTGAATACTGAACTATGGGATTGTCAGAAAACACATTTCGGACGTTGCCCAAACGCTGCTATTAATACTTTAGCTGGGGGACATTCAATATTTAGCCCAAGGATACCAATGGATGAGAGATTCCCAAAAAGTGATGCTTGCTCAGGCATCACTTTTTCAAAACCATATTTTGACGCGTAGTAAAAAGGTGATTGAATTTGAAACGGAGCAGAATCACGTTTTCGTGGCCGTTTTCAGCCTGCGTTTTGGTTTGACCCAGAGGGATGTTCACATACCGCAGTCCGCAGTCTCGAGCTCCGCGTTTTCGCGACCACGTGCTTCATTCCATTTGATTCAGCTTTGCCTGGTGGGAGTGTTTACACATTTCGTTTCCTAAATTCTGGGACCTGCACTCGTGTTTTCTCATTTTGAACCACTGATGTGCAAGGAACGCTTTTCCGCTAGTTTGCCCCGAGGCAATTAGTTTGAAGCCTCGGTTTAGCCACGTGATGAAAAGATTACATGATGGTGAGTCCTTATTTAATCTCTGCTGATTTTGTAAATTTACACGAAGGACGAAGGCGTAACGTTAGGTTGAATATAGGCCTAACATACCATCAGGTAAGGGCTCTTGATTTATGCTTTACCTAGCTCATATTGCTTGAAATTTGGTAGGAAGTGAAACATGCTAGCCAGCAAGGACATTTTTTTTTATAAAAAAAATATCACAGTGAACAGGATACAGCATTCACAAATTTTGACACAACTGTACGCCTTTGATCACTGATCCATATGTGATACAAGTTCACTCTGAATGGAGCTAAAAATAGTCAATATTGACTATTTTTAGCTCGCATTTTCTTCTTCGTATCAATATCAAAATAAAAGCATTGTTAATTGGAGAATTATTCATGATATCCAAAATCTTAGAGGAATAAATAGGATATTTGGCATTATGGCATTGGAAATGCATATTCCATGAATCAGAGTAAAAGGTTATGGTGCAAAAGGAGGAAGTAACTCAAAACTGACATTATTCTGTGGGGATGTGATATACTTTAATTGCAAATTAATGCTTCTTTGTGTCATTTTGAGTAATTTCAATCTTTTTAACCATTACATTTGTATTTTGATCCATGGGAGGTGCATGTAAAATCCTACATTGCTGCAAACTCAATGCACATGAACTACAAAACACAGACCAAATTGCAGCTTGTTGCTTTGGGATAACACCTAGAAAGAAATGCATGGTGATTGCAGCATTGCCTGGCAAAAATGGTTCTTGAATTATATCAGAGCCCTATGAAGTAGGAGGGAAAGGAAATTGTGCCACACTTTTATGTTCCTGATCTAGTGCTTGCAATATGAAGGTATGGAGGTATTAAACCTCATGTTTGTTACTAATATAATGGGTTAAAACAAAACAAGCCAGTATGCACAGTAGCAAAAGGATTTATGAAATATGATGAAATAGAGTTTTGGTTTGATTTAGTAATTGCCTTGTCTAGTGTGCTGCCCAATAGATGATGGTCATGAATATAATATCCTATCAATTTATAAGCAAATAAAAATGCCAAAAAATGAAAAATGTAGTTAAAGTGACATGGATGATCATATAATAAAGCAACCTGCATAGCCTAGGCTTATGCCCTCATGTGAATCTCAATTAAACCTATGCCTAGGCTTATAAATTGGCTTTTGCAGATTCTCTGCTTCTTCTTCTAGTCTGTGGATTGTGATCTTAATTCGTGTCTTCTAACTTCAGGCCCATGTTTTCTCAGACGGTGCAATGAATGCCAGGACATTCCATACTGTACAAGAGGCAGCAGCCAATGCCCTTGCTCTCAATCGGGACTATAGTCAAGTGGTCATTGCTGGGAGGAGTGGTAGGTTTTTTTTCCTCATCCCCTGGTATATCATTGAGGGCTAGTATTGGCAAAGATTTTATTATTTATATGCAGTGTTCAAAGTGTTCTCCATTGAGGACGAAGCCTTTCAGGAAAAGGCCAATCTACGGGTCTCAGAAAAGCGATTTCTCAACCTCAATTATTCTTCAATTGATGTTGTATGGAATGCACTAGATGGTAAGCTCACAACCCCTTTTAACTTCATGGATTTACCAGGGCATGTTTATTTACTGTTTTTTTTTCATGTCATGATTGCAGACAATATCTTGGCCACAGCTGCCACAAATGGTGCTGTGGTTCTGTGGAACTTGGGAAGGAGTTCTCGCTCAAAGCAAGAACATGTTTTTAATGACCATAAAAGAACGGTAAATAAGGTGAGCTTTCATCCTTCAGAAGCTCAGTCATTGTTGTCTGGTTCTCAGGATGGGACCATGAAGTTCTTTGATCTGCGTAAGAAGGAAGCTGTGATCACATTTCATAGGTATGCATCTTACCTTTGTGCAGTGTTGGTATTTTCCTGATCATGGTGTTAGGTCATTTTTAGTAGAATGACCCTGATATATGTCTGCCCACAGCAATGCGGAAAGTGTGCGTGATGTGGAGTTTAACCCACACAATCACTCAAAGTTTGCTGCTGTCTCTGAGAACGGAACAGTGGGATTGTGGGATCTGAGGAAGACGGAACGTGCAGAACGACAATTCACAGCTCATTCAGGACCTATTTTCACTTGTGACTGGCATCCTGAGAATCGGAACTGGCTTGCTACAGCAGGGAGGGACAAAACTATCAAGGCTGGTCACAGAAACCATTAGAGTCTTTGTTTTGCATAAATCAAGTAAGCCTAAGGTGAATGTGTTTATGATTTCTGTAATGATTTAATACTTACAGGTTTGGAATGTAGAGCAGAGAGCCTCTTTAGAACATACAGTTCAGACAATAGCTTCTGTTGGTCGCATCAAGTGGAGACCTGCAAGAAAGTACCACATTGCTAGTGCTGCACTTTTAGTTGACTGCAGCATCAATGTATGGGATGTGCGAAGGCCTTACATACCTTTTGCAGCCTTCAATGAGCACAAAGACATCACAACAGGGATTGCTTGGAAGGGTGACCCACATGTCTTCCTCTCCACCAGCAAGGCATAATTAGTTTTGATTTCTTGTCTACTTCTCAAGAGCTGTCAATGAGATGCAAAGATGTTGTTGTGCAATGCAGGATCATACCTTATATCAACACGCGTTTCGAGATGCTCAACGACCAGCTGAAAAAGCGAAGCCCATGGCCTTGTCTATGGGGGTCAGGGGTGAGATCTGCTGGGCTAAGAAAATCCCTCACCCAGATGCAGATCAGAGGGCTTCCCTAAACAGATTCAACCCTTTTTTTAGGTCTGTGGGGTTTTTTATTGCCAAAAAGTGAACACGATTCTAACAGATTTTATTATTAGAGTTTCTTTTCCAGACGAGCAAGTGGATTCAAGGATCAGTTTGTGGAAGCTAAGAGTGAGGTGTACATGTATCAGATCATGGAGCCTCTCCTTTCTCAGAGATACCTAGCAGACATTGCTAAAGGTTACATCTTGAGTGGAAAATCATTTACGGAGATCTGTGAGCACAATGCTGCTGTGGCTCGACATGCCAAGAGAGAACAGGTATCTTTTTAAGTCAAACTGGTAGTGATTCTTTGAGTACACTGTGCTTTTCACTGCTTTTACTGATGCCAGACCTTTCATGTTGCATGGGCAGGTATCAATGACATGGCACATAGTGCGTCATCTGTATGCAAGCCCAACAAGCGAGTCATCCAAGGGTCTTCTGTCTTTGCCCTTTGTGGGCAGTGGGAGTGGGGGAGGAAGGATAGGGGAAGGTGTTATGGGAACTGGAGCTGGGAGAGTTGGGGATGTTGGAGGAGATGAGGATCGAGGAGACAGTCGCCATCATTCAGGGGAGAAAGGTTCTGATGCAGGTGGTCTGCCCCCAGGTGCTATTTTCACCCAGGTCTCTGAGGACCTGGACTCTGATGTCAATGCTACAGATGATGGGGACATAATTGAGAAGAACCTCTTCAATATGCCTGGGTTAGAATGGAATCAATTGATCTAACCATATATTTGTATAGTGCTATGCAGAGAGGGGTTAAGCCAATGATGAGTTTCTGTTGCTCAGTGGAGGGTTTGGAGGTGGGTTGATGTCAGACAATCTGTTTTGTGATGTGGAGGACCCCATGGTCACAACTCCAAGTGCTGAACGGACCAATTCATTTTCCTTGACTTCTTTGGATGTCCCCCATGAAGAAGACTGGACTCTGCCATCAGAAGCTTTTCAGCCAAGACATGAGATCCAAGACCGATCTCCTCCTCCTGAGGAATTCTCTTCTACCCATGCTGAGATCCAGGATGCTGGTAAATTCATTATGCTAATCTCTACTAGAAGTATTGGGAAAATTATATATGTTATTCTACACGAGGTTCCTATCTTGACTTACCCGAAGGGATGTTATCTTTGGCAAAATGAATTAACTTTACCCCAGCACCACTGATGTTGATTCCTTCTGGACTCAAGCAATTACTATGGCAAAAAATCTAGGAACTTTCTACCATTTCTATCATCATCCACCTTGTTTGAACTGTGAATCTGAATGGCATCCATGGACTTGTTCAAATCTAAGGCAGATCAGAATGCAGTGTTCACCTATTGGTTTCCACTTAATCCTACTGTCAACCAGCTGGTGTATCCCGCTTGAGCAAACATGGTTGGGTGAAGTCCATTCCTGCAGAGGGTCCACCCATGGTCTAAGGCAGTGGTCGGCAACCTACGGCCCGTGGGCCGGATGCGGCCCGCGAAGAGATTTCGTCCGGCCTGCCACGACCTTGGTCGGGCGGTGCTAAATTTTTCTCGAGTGAATCCATGAAACTTGGACAAATTTAACTCTTCCTCACAGCAGCCTCGTTTATTGTTGGAAAGGAGAGAAATTTTCAGTGTTCTGTGCTCTTATTGCCTGTGATTGTCTGATAATCAAACCAATACAAACCGTCGCTGGTGCGTGAGGTGGCAAGTTTGCAAATGTAGAGGACTTGGTTCGAACTTCAGCCTCGAGAAACGCTAATCCTTCTTGTTGCGCCAGTTCGTGCGCCCTCCGTATCGCCTATCCTTTGTTTTATGCTGATGGAATGAGAGGGCAGGACGTGTTAGTCATGCTGCCCTTTTCTTGGCTTTCGAAGGCTGGTGGTGTGGAGAGATAAAGTAGTTTGTCTTGTCTGTAAGGAGAGCGTTTCGGTGTTCAAGGAATATAGCAGTAGGCAGCATTACGAAGCACATCATAAAGGTAAGTATGACTCTCTGAAAGCCAGATCAGGACTGATAAGACAGGCTCTGAAAAAGGCCTTGTTTGCTCAGTGGAATATTTTCAAGTAAAGAGTACAGGAAAACCTGGCTCCAGTTCGAGCTAGTTATCATGTCATTAAATTATTAACAGAGGCACAGAGTTCGCACTGAGCGACCAACATGCCGAGAGGTTGGTCTCCCAATTACCAAAAATTGCCTGTATTACGGTTGAGAAATGTGAGAATCACACATTGTGGTAGCATCAAGTTTTATGTACAGCAATATTGTATCTGATTCTATTATTAAAATGTGTTCATTACACACTTATTTCAGTTCAAATAAACATAGAAACAAAAAATCTTAATTTGGAAACCTCTGAGAGCACTAGAACAGCACTACTTCTCAGTTATCGCTCTGCGGCCCGTGACCTGATTGTACTATGATGATCCAGCCCACCACCGCCAAAAGGTTGCCGACCACTGGTCTAGGGCAATGGAATCATTACTTTTCTACTTGGTCAATACTAGGCCAACTGTGTCTTAGTCATGTCTTACTTACTTCTTCCATGGGATCTGGCTCCTTACCATTGAGTGTAAACATGTTCCAAAGTCTCAACATCTCTATATCTACAGCAGATCCAGAGAGGGAATTATAGGTTGTTCATTTTTTAATTAATTTATCCTACAGACAAAGTTTAATCTCATAAAATCTCAATAATTGAAATCCTAGTTACTGTAGTTTAAGCCCTCGGGCCAGTTTGCCGTACCCCATATGTGCAATGTTTCCTTTGTCACAGGCAGTTAGCAATTTAAATATTGGTTGGAGAGGTTAACTTAATGCTCACTAAAATGGCTAATTCTCCATGTTATAATATTGATAACTCCTTCACTCCTTAGGTAAGGACTTTTACATTGCCATGAAGAGTGAAATTTATTTTCCAGCAGGAGTGTTTGATATCATTTCATGGATCTTAATGTGGATAGCAGATGTTGGAAAGTCTAATTAACAGTTATCACATAGTTTGGGTTTCTGTTTATATGTTGCTTTGGCAGCTGGCACCCCTTTGCTTCTTCTCAATGACTTATAACTAACATGTCATATTTTCAAGTGTGGTATGGAAGGAAATCTTTCCCAATGTGTGAGATGCTGATTTTACTTGGTAGTCTTCCCATTACCATGGACATATAATTTGCTTCAATGTATAATCTTGAAACTCCTCCATGCTGTTTTAAACTAAATTTTTATAAAGTGAATAATCAAGTGAATCATATTCATATTTCCTTCTGTTCATTTTCTATGTTGGGTTTATAGAGGTTGAGAGCTCAAGTGGCAGTAACATCCTGGAGGCAAATGATATCCTCAGCTTGCCAGGGTCTGGCACGCAATCAGCTCCTTCTTGGGATTTCTCTCCACTTGTGATTGAATGCCTCCATTTCTATGCTGAGTTGGGAGATGTCCAGACAGCTGTCTCTCTCCTCCTTGTCCTTGGAGATCGTGTTCGAAATGCCATTCCAAAAAATGTCCAGGTGGGTGCTGACATGATCAATTTATGAATCTGGCATCTCTTATCTGATACAACTTCTGATGCATTTTAATGGTGATGGAACTGGTGAGTCATAAAATACAGTTGAGAAGCTTGATATTGTGATCAAACTGAAAGTTGTTGAGGCTTAGATCTATCAAGGCACCTTAGCAGTCATTCTGAGTTAGATGATTGGACTGAATGCCATTAAGACACATTGCAAAAAAGAAAAAATTGGCTAAGGCAAACACAGGAAATAAATCTGGCCTTTCCCCTTTGAGGGCAATGTTGACAAATCTCATGTATTTCAATTCATGATGCAAATCCTCAGCTTATTTGAAAACTCTTTTTCCTTCAATGCAGCTTTTTCTCCTGACAGTTTGGAAAGTTTGGACAAGTTTTTCTGACTTTTTCCTCATGAAAATTCTTAACCATAAATGTCAAGTTGAAATCATGAGTGCCATTGTCAAGAAGTAGGAGAGTTAAATTCAATGGTGGAAGTACAGTACAACTTCCTTCCTACTTTCAGTCACAATGGTTCAATAAGTATATTATAATTTTTTTCATATGTACTTATTTCCACTGTTATTTCAAGCATTATTTTGAATAAGACAAACTGGTTCATTGACAACTTTCAAAACATATTCTGAGGTTCATGGTTAGGAGGTTCAACCAAACTCATATGTCCAGCATGAAGGAAACTATGGACTTCTTGAACATAATTATTGAAGCCCTTCAGGTGTATTACATTGCAAGAGAGCATTGAACAGAAGATGCAATAAGAATATTGAAATGAAACAGAAGTTCTCAGCTTTTCAGTGAGAAATGCAGCAGTATCGACTTTTGAAAGGTGTTAAAATCAGGGCCAACTTCAATTTGTATTCTCCAGTGCTGAAAACATTGAAATCTGTTTTTTGTCATTAGTGTTATGATTCCATTCAAGATTCCTTAAAAGGCTGGACAAATACAATGAATTATGGCAAGTGAAGGAAAGAAATACTATGAATTTACTCTTTTTGTCTGATCTTCTTGGCAAGATCAGGATTCTATCAAATGATTACAAGTTTTTGGCTCATGTATATCTAGTATATCTTTTGGAAAAATCTCATTTGACCACTTGATATATCTGTCATTTTGCTTTCAGTGAAATGAATGCCTCACAAGAAATTTGCTGTAACTAATACTTCATCTCCAGATATATCAAAAGGGCCATTAACCCTCATTCAAATATCTTCTCAATTTAGGCTTGAGCGTACATTTATTCTTTCAGTTTTGTAACCTTGTTTGGTACCTGTGCTGATGTATTATTTGTTCTATCTGGAAAAACTTGAATGAAGTTCAGTCATATAACCATCTTGCAACGTCTGCATCTCCTGCTAGGAGAGTTGGTGTGAAGGATACCTGGAGATCCTTTCAAGGTTGCGACTCTTCAATGTGGCCACTCAGGTCATTGAACTCTGCACTCTTCCTTCCATCCACAGTCTTAACCATCAGAGCACTGTATATCACACCAAGTGTCCACAGTATGAGCTTCATGATATTCCCTTCATTTCATTGCAACAAAGCATAATCCCCTTGGTTCACTCATTTTTCCTTTGTGTTGTCAGATGTGATCACCTTTTGGTGAGAAGTGGTTGGGCCTGTGACCGTTGTCGACAGCTGACCAACACTTGTAGTGTGTGTCATCAGGTGGTCAGAGGACTATATGTTTGGTGCCAGGGATGTGGTCATGGTGGTCATATGACACACCTCAAAGATTGGTTCTCACAGAATACTACCTGTCCCACTGGATGCCAGCATCTCTGTAGTTTCTGACCTTTATTGAATGTATGATAGATGGGCAGTGTTGCTTCCTCCTATTCATTCATCAGCAAGGATTGGTCAATATATTCTGAGATCTCAAACTTCTTTCATATTAGAGGAATGAAAAATTATTGCATTTTCCTGTATTGTTAGTACTCGCTTAATATACACCAGCTAATCCTGCTTTCTTCATTACAGAAATGAGTGGTTCATGATATATTGTCTTAATGTTATTTTAAAATGGCAGTACAGGTAAAGAACAGGTCTGCTATATTATAAAATTCCCTGTGTTGCTTGGAAAAACAGGTCATGAGGTTCATTCAGACTTTGTGAGAGTGATGGGAGAGAATGTTTTCATTGCACACTGAATTTTATAACTCTGAAGACCTGTTCTTTATCACACTTTACTTCCATTTTCATTGGTGTGAAGACACTGTACAATAACCACTTATTATTTTAAACAGAAGGGCAGAATTAGTTGGAGCACTTTAATAAATCTCTTTAAATGTACACAAAATAGTGGTTATTGCAAAATTTCTTCATTCTGATATGCAAGGAATTCATGAAGGGGGACCTGGTCTCAGAACTTCTTAACTCTCATGTCTCCTGGTAAACTCTCTTGCAGGCTGCAGGTGTTGAGGATGAACAATAAGCAGCTTTCATCATTTCCCATCTGTGATATGAAAGTCTATTAATGTAAGCTAGCTTGAAGTAAGCAATGCTTCAAGCTGTTTACTGAAAATATAGACTTGTACCTAGGCAAAGCTCTACTGATTAAACTGCATTTCTGAAGTTTTAATGAGCATCATTCATCATGTATGTTAACCTTCTGTGCCAAAGCATAATAATTATGCAATATTATCCTGCATTTTGCAATGTCCTGATTTAAACAAGGTGCACAAAACTGTTAGTATAACCAAATATTTTTCCTTTCCTTAGTTGAATTCCTGTCCAGAAAAAAAGTTGAGGGCTTCTCTTTCTCTATAACTGGTGTCCTCATTCAAGTGCTGTATTTTTTTTAAGTGAACCCCCATTCTGTCTCTGATGATTGTGCTGGCATCCTGCTTGTTCATCCTTGTTCTTGTGCACTTTTAAATGAATTAACTTTCTTTCCTATCACACCAGCATACTGGTACACCTAGTCTAGAAATGACCATTCAGATTTACATGTCATGCAAGTACATTTCAAGATCTGGGAAGTTTTAATTGCCAGCGAAATGCACAATACTTGTGTTCAATTTTCTCAAGAAGTTTTGCTTTTATAGTCCTGGTCTCATCAGTGCTTTTCCTCAACAGATTTTTTAAATATATGTTTTCAGTTTTTTTTCAAGGAAGAAGATGATTCTGTGAATTTGCTTCGGATTCTGCCATACAGAACAAGAATAATTTATCATTTATTTATGAAAATGGTTTTCTCTCCTTCATGCTTTCCCTCCTTATGAAAGTTTGCAAGTTCAAATATACCATATGTAGTGAGTGCCTGCAGGTGAATAGAATTTTGTTCCTTTTTTTTTAACAGCAAAAACATGTCTGTTATGCAACATTTTGAAACTGAAGTTTTGTAAACTTTGACTCTTTAGCTATTAATTTTGGTGACAAATTTGTCATGAATGGCACTGACTAGCACACAGGTGCAATAGGATATGGATACATCCTCAAAGGAATACATGCATAGTTTGCATTACGGAGCAGTGCATCTAGTGATGAAAGAAACTCCCACCATTGGAGATAGGGTTGCTAAACACTTACATCCTCACATTCAAGAATATGCCATGCTGGTGCAATTTGCAATGCTCATCAAATGAATTTGGAGGGTTGGGTGGTTGCTCCCAACCTTCCATCAAGCGAGGGCGCTGGTAGCAGCGAGACATGAGTGAAATCTGTTTCCCTGGGAACAAGTATGCTGGTGATATATTGCGTTCTCAATCCTGCCCAGCCACCTTAACTCCTTTAGGCCTGGTGGAACTCTGAATCCGGAAAAAAAATTTTTTCGTATTATGTAGGGCCATATATGAATGCACGACCTTAAGGCCTAGCAGGTCTTGAGTCCCTGTGATCGTTTTGGTATTTGTATTTTGGTGGTTGATGTTTCATTGTGTGAATGAGGAAATATTTAACCTTCATTTATATTTTTTTATTCGGGTCTTAATGGGTTAAGCTAGGATAAAAACAGTTGGAAGGAGGTCGTCGAAAGTGATAGTGATGGACAAGAGATATACGTCTGCGTGGTGATTCAAATCTTGGATTGAGTCCAGTTGAGCGAACTCTGAAGATTCCACAGCATTGCCATAAGGTTGTTTCCGGACCTGGTTCCGACGTTGAGGTGCATTTTCATTTCAACTTCGCAATTTGCATTATCATCCGTCAAATGACCCACCTCTCTAGGATTTACTATCACAATCATCCTAAATTTCAGTGTAAAAAAAATTATTTTTGTGACTCCTCTCCACCACGCCTCATGCCAGTCCACATACTTCCCGCTCACTCCGACGTGTACTTCTTATTCATCGCATGGTGATCATTGATTTTTCGCCAAAAACTTTTTAGTCAATGGTATTTCCATCTTAAACACATCTTTTGGGCTCTGTGAAGTACGCTGTACCACGATGTTGGCTACCGTATCGCACATGGTAGCGAAATAATATGCTTCGGTTTGAAATAGCTACTAGATATTGAGGCCCAAGCGCTATAAGTCCTCAGATTCGTATTGCCTGGCCAGAAGCAAAAAATAACGAGAACGGGTTTGGAAAGCCATGGACCAGAAGCGTCTAGCAGAATCCCTAAATTCCAAGAGAATGCGAATTGAACAGGATGCCGCTCGCACCAAGTTGTTGCATGTATCACGATGGACGAGTAATGCCGAGAATTGAGTTTCCACTAACACTAACATTTTTTGCTGCTTTTCACCGTAGCAACGTATCATTATTCCTTATAAAACGTCTTTTATTACAAAATTCAAAGTTCAAAAACGATTCAAAATTTGTCCACCACGTCAATTTTCACATGTCCATCATTCTTATCAACAAATGTCTGCAAACGACGCCGACATTCGAGATAAACTTTTGCCGCATCTCGACCGTGACCGAATCGAACGCCAGCACGATCGCCGCCTTGAAGCGCCTATGCACCTCGGTGATCGATATTGTTTTCTGAAACCAACACATGCAAAACACCCATTCTTGAACAGAGTATCACGGAGCCATGATAGCAGAGATCACAGGAAAAGACACACCAAAAGCTTATTGTAAGAAAAGCGTTAATTTTATGCCAACAGCTCAAGGTATCGGTATCAGAACGTCGCACTGAGACGCAAGCTGTGACTCGAATCAGTGCGAAAGAGGCACTCCAGAAAATCGATAACTGACAGCACTCAAGTGTGAAAGTCGGCCAAAGCTCGCAAAAAAAAAATTGCGTATCGAATGAGCTATAGCTCATGGCTGTGAGTTGAACAAGAACTGAGATATTAACAATTTAAAGAAGTAATATTAAGCCGAACACCTTGTATCGAGGCCGTATTTAGGGGTTCATGGGGTTCAACCCCCCCCCCCCCCCCCCCCCCCCCCCCCCCCCCCCCCCCCCCCCCCCCCCCCCCCCCCCCCCCCCCCCCCCCCCCCCCCCCCCCCCCCCCCCCCCCCCCCCCCCCCCCCCCCCCCCCCCCCCCCCCCCCCCCCCCCCCCCCC